TTACAATTGCAACAACAGTTATCCTCCTTCCTCCCTGTCGTTTGCCATTTACATCTTAGATTTCACATGAAACCTAATGAACAAAGCAAAATTGACAAATCAAATGAAGAGGGCAAAAATATTTGATGCACACATACAAAACAAATGTATATATAGATATATATTCATTAAAATGTCCAAAGGGCACATTCTGCAAGCCAGCCTCTTAGAGCCCGCTGTTGTTCTGTCTCTCCCTGCCATTGCCTCTGCCACTGTTTCTGCTGCCACCACTTTCCTAGGTAGGGATCTCACGTTCCTCTCATGCTCTTCCTTCTTGATGGTCCTGGGATTGTTTGCTCCTGAAATGAAAGATTAACTGCTTTCCCCTTTTAGTTATACATCTTCTGTAATTACAGTTTTGACTATCACAATTAACCCTGCTAATAATTACTCACAATTAAATCATAAAATCCTGTCCCCATTGTCCCCATCCCCTTTCACCAGATTCATCTGGAAAAGAAGAAAACTATTCAGTGGATATTCTATTTTACTTCCTTCTGAAACTAACAACGCTCATGAAAGCCTGTAAGCCAGCTACTTCCTGCCTTTATAGTCCCTTGTCCCATTCTTTTTTTTTTTTTTAAGGTTTTTATTGTGTATTGAGTGAAAGTTTACAGGGAAGCTTATCAGTTTTACATTCAACAAATCATACACCTTGTTTCATTACAATGATTATAATCCCCTCCATGTACCATCAGTTAAGAGTATTTCTGTCTATTCACTTTAGCTAAAACAACAACAACAACAAAAAAAAACACAAAACCCACTCAGGCATATATAATAATTTACACCTCTAAAGGCCACATCTGCAAGTCAGCCTCCTGGCCACCAGCTTTTAGTCCCTCTCTCCCCATGAATCTAGAGTCCTCCGCTGCTCTCCCTCTCCATGACACAATCTCTGCCTCCGTCTCTGGTGTCGCAGCTTCTCTGGATAAGGTCCTGCATTCTGATTGTGCTCTTCTCCCTTAATGTTCCTAGGGTCTTCTGTTTCTAGACTGTAAGATTAACCACGCCCCTGTTTTTGTTACAAAACTTCTACCTTTACAATTGTGACAGTCGCAATTAGTCATGATGACAATTATTCACTATTGAATCATACGAATCTTATCCCCATTGCTTTTTACCAGACCCAGCTAGACAAGATGAAAACTATTCAGTGGGGACTCTTTCTCCCGACCTCACACACTCTTAAACTAAACTCCCTCTTGAAACCTTGTAAGCCAGTCACTTCATGCCTTTATTGCCCCCTCATTTTAGGTAGCCAATGTCTAAGTTGCCCGTCCCTGTCTACCCTGTGTACAAAGGGGATAGTATTGATACTTGATGTGAAGATTCCTTCCCTCTCTGTTGATATTTAGTTACTCCATGAGTATAGGTCAGGTTCATCAAATTGTAGCAATTTACCCTTGTTTCCTTTATCAAAAAAAAATTTTTTTTGTTTGTTTGTAATCTTTCTCTAGTCAAGTTCTGATTATCGAGCCATTGAGGCTAGGTCAAATGGGTACTGTCTGCAAGTTTGGGTGTTCTTGTGCATCTCTCCTCACATCATATCAGCTGGATGCTTCACTCTCAGTTCTAGCCCTCTGTGGCTATGTCCTTGTCCATGGGCTCAAGTGTCCCCAGGTCTCACCACACTTTGGACCAACCAGCCCTTCCTTTTCTCTCTCTCATCTTCAGGTCAACGGGAGTCCATGGACTGTGGTTGAACTCAGCCCATTTCTTCATTGCTGCCTTTCCCCCTCTTCCACTCACCAGTAGACCAGTGTGGTCGCCAGCAAGCTTATATGCCTGTTCATGTGTTCTCTTTGAGTTTCAGTTTTAGAGGGGAGTTTGTCCTGAAAGAACTTGATTGCTTGCCTTGATGGCTTCCTGGCGAACAGCTTGCTTATTCTTGTAGTAGCCAGTCATGCTGACACTTTTATTTTGGGTTTTTCCTAATGATCTTTCTTGAAGATGTATCTTCTGTTGCTCTAGCTGTTCCGGGCTTATCTGCTTGTCTTTGCTAATGGGAATGTCCCACCTCCTAGGGTTCTGGATGGGACTCAGGATTCCACCTAAGGTCCTATACTCTGCAAAGATTTTGCAAAAGGCCTGTTTCACTGAACAAGTTCTAGAACCCCTTTTAGGTATTCCAATCACTTATAGGCTGAAGATGGGCTTACAATTTTTCTGTAATCATGTTTCCCAACATTCCTTTCTATCTTACTCAAGTGTCTATTTTTCAATAGGAGGCAAGGGAAACCGATATTCATAAGACTGTCAAGCATTTTAGTAATACTTCCCCTCTTAAAACTATGCCTAGATCCCTGTATCACAGAGCCCTGATGTTCCAAGATTAAGCATGCATCACTATTTACTTCTGTCCCACTTAGCCCATGCAAACTTGTCTCAGTGTTCCCCTGTGTAACTTGCCCTTCCACCTCTATGCCCTTCTTGTATTGTCCTCCCCAACACCCGAAGTAAACCCCCTCACTCCAACCCCACTATTGTGGTTACCTTATATTCCATTAACTCTTCCCTCCATTTAAGACAGTCTATTTTATCCTGTAATGTATCTGACCTTCTCACTACCTGGATCTCTGTTCCTCTGTGTTTACCTTCTTTCACTTTGTGATTGTTTTGATCATAGACTGACCACCCAGATCCTCTGTTCTTATAATTTTATTCTGTTCTTGACTCTTTCATTTGTTGATTGAGTTCAGGGTGATGCTACCACGTACATCATTCTCTGGTTGTTGTCTGTTCTTGTTGGTTCTCAGTCCACAGAACTTCTTTTAGGATGTTTTTCATAGCAGGGTTGGCTTGGCAAAATCCCTTAGCTTCTGTTTATCCTGGAATGGTTTGTTTATACCATCATACTTGATTGACAGCTTTTCTGGGTAGAGGATTCTTGGTTGGCAGTCCTACCCCATTTTTGATAGCCAATGTCTAAATTGCCCATCCTATCAACCCAGTACTCGACGGCACTTAACAACAACAACAATCAACCCAGTACACTGACAAAACATGCTTTTTCCTTGATCTGAAGACTCTACCATTCCAGGTGGAATTTTGAGCAATTGCCTTCAAAAACAAAAGTCCAGTTCACCAAACTGTAGTAATTTATACTTGCTCACAGTATCAAACATCTTTATCTTCACCTGGCTGGGTTCTGGTCAGCTCAGCCCTAACCATCTAAGCTAGGTCAGATGGGTACCAGCTGCAAGTTTGGGGATTCATGCACACTTCCCTGTACTTCAGACCAGATGATTGCTTTGCCCCCAGGGGGCTAGGTCAGTGTCCATGGGCTCAGGAACTCACACATCTCCCTAAACTTCAGAACAGGCAGCCCTTCTTCTTCTCTCCGTCATCTCAAGGAAAACGGGTATCAATGGAACATGGCCAAACTCAGCCCATGTCTTCATTGCTGCATTTCACCCACATGCACTCACAGGTAGACCCAGGTAGTCACCAGTGAGTATACAAGAGTGCTTGTGGGTTCCCTTTAAATTCCATCCTAGAAGGGGGCTTCCCCTGATGGGCTGACTTTTTTTTTTTGGCCTTAAAGCCACCAAAGTAAACTGCTTGCTTGAAGCTCACACAGCCAAAGCGTCTGATTTTTCCTGCAGGTCTTTTTTTCAGTAGGAATCTTCTGTTCTCCCAGCAGTTCTGGGTTGGTCTGCATGTCTTTTCAAGTAGGAGGGTTCTAGGTGGGACTCAGGATTCTACCCAAGGCCTTAAATTCTACAAAGGCTTAACAAGAAGCCTATTCCACTAGGCAAATTCTAACTCCTGTTTAGCAAAACCAATCAGTTATAGGCTAACGGTGTGCTACAAGCTTTCTGTAATCCCGATTCCCACCATTTATTTTTATCCTACATGAATCTCTTTTACACTAGGAGGCAGAGGAAATCAATATCCACAAGACAGTAAAATGCATAAACATTTTTTCTCCTCCTTTACCCACTCAGCCTATGTCTCAATCCATGTATCTACTCAGAGAACACTGTTGTTTTAAGGTTATGTATAATCACTATTTAACTCTATCCCATTTAGTCCATGCATACCTCCCTAAGTCTTCCTCTGTCTTCACTGTTCATCTGTCACCCTCCTTCTTCTTGCATAGTGCCCTCCCCATCACCCAAGATAACACGTGTTACCCTCTAGCCAGTGAATTACTCTCCCCTCTCTCCTACCCCTGGAAGCCATCAAAGAATATTTCTTTTAGTATGCACACTTTTTCTTAAGCTTTTATAATAATGGTTGCATATAATATTTTTCCTTTTGTGATTGACTAATTTCATTCTGCATAATGTCCTCCAAGTTCATCCATGTTATAAAGTGTTTCACAGATTCATCATTATAGAATAGAAATTTTGGGGGCTCTTGTCAGTCACAAAATTTACAACAATCTCTAACATGTATATAGGACTTTATGACCTAACAAATGGGTTTTAATAATTCAATGAAACAGCAATGGGAAGTTCTTAACTCAAGCTGTACATAGTAAATGCTCAGTAAAGAGTACATATTATTATGATGTATACAGTAATCTAGTGTTTAGCAGTATCTGGCACATAGGAGATGTTCAATGTCAAATGAATGAATAATGTTTACAATTCTAACTCACAAAGCTGTATGAGAACCTAATAAGTAAGGTAGTAGGTGTGGGTGTGGGCTCTCTGAACTGGAAAACAGTTTATTAGTAGTGATCATAAATCTTAGGCAGGAGGAGGAGTCCCAATCCTGTTAGTGGCCCAGAGAAGGTAGATTTTCTGTACTCATGGTCACACGGGTCGTAGGGGAAGCCATGGTACTGTCCACGATGGTCGTTTGCCTTCTGGCTTGCTGGTTGTTTTCTAGCAAAGGCCCAGAGACCACTGAGGAGAAGGCGAGGACCAGTAGGGCTGGGGAAGACAACACCGTCTCTCATAGCCCCTTCTTTTTCCTTCCACTGGTTGCTGCCCTTTGGGGCTGTGCAGGGCACTCTCCAAGACGCCGGCAGCCCTGGCGCTGAATCAGACACAGCACTGCAAACAGCTGGAGGGCCTGGTGTCCGCACAGGTGCAATTGTGCCGTAGCAATCTGGAGCTCATGCACACCATCGTGCACGCTGCCCGTGAGGTTATGAAGGCCTGCCGCAGGGCCTTTGCAGACATGCGCTGGAACTGCTCCTCCATTGAGCTCGCCCCCAACTACCTGCTCGACCTGGAGAGAGGTAGGGAGCTGAAGGGGGCTGCTTGGACCTGCTGAATGAACACAGGTGGGGAGGAATGAATGTAGGCATCAATATATGTGTTTAGATAAATGGATGAGTACATGGATAACTGGATGGGTGGAGAGATGGATGGATGAATGAGTGAAGAGGTGAATGAAGGCATAGATGGATAAATAAAGGGGTGGATGAAGGAATGGGTGGATGAATGAAGAGGTGGATGAAGGCATGGATGGATGAATGAAGAGGTGGATGAAGGCATGGATGGACAAATGAAGAGGTGAATGAAGGCATGGATGGATGAATGAAGAGGTGGATGAAGGCATAGATGGATGGACATAGGGGTGGATGAATGAATGATGAACTAATGAATAGAACAGGTATTCAGGCATAACTGAATGAATGAATAAACATGTGGTTGAATGAGTGCTCTGGTGCACAGTGCTTGCATCATGACTCAAGTCATTGCCTGCTGAACCAAAGGCACATGTCAGGGAGGCTCTTGGGAGGAGGTATACAAAAGATAATGCTGTATAAATTTGACAAAATGCAACACCCTTGCTAGATGAAAACCCTAAAGAATGGAATAGAAGGAAAAATCCCTCAGTATGATTTAGGACTTATGTGGAAAGTCAATAGCCAACATTATACTTAATGGAGAAAGCCTGAGAACATTCCCATTGAAATCAGAAAAAACACAGGGTGTTATTACAAGACCTGTTGCTGTTGTTAAGTGCCTTCGAGCTGTTTCTGACTCAGCGTGACCCTGTAAAGGATTTCTGAGGAGCAGCTGTTAAAAGACCTAGTCAGAGCAATAAGAGAAAGAAGTGAAAGCTATCCAGATTGAAAAAGGAGTCAAATTATCTTTTTTCGTGGATGAAATAAAAGTTTTACAAATGAGAGAGACAGAGATAATGCTACAGAGCCCACCCTCAGGGCAGAAACAAATATGCCACAGGTAGTTCTAGGCCATAAGACTGAAATTTCTGTGAGACCCATGTAGGCTAGAGAGCCTTGTGATAGAAACACACTAGTGGATCGCAGATCTCCGTCTCATGGCAAGAATGTCTCTTGTAGATCCTTAATGATTATAGCTAATGTTTCTGTAGCACTTCACACAGCTTCCTTCCTTCCTTCCCAAAACTATGTGAATTCCAGAACAAGCCTACGAGGTAGGTATTATCATCCCCATTTTACAATTTAGGAAATCGAGGCTCGGGGAAAGGCTAAAGGCAAAGCTCAGACACAAGACCTTCCCATAGCAGTTCACAGCAGAGACATAGTGGGCCCTTTACACTCTGGTCTCACCCAACCCAGTTCAGGAGACAGCAGGGGTAAGAGTACCGCACTGTTGAGTGTGAGTAGAACGTCAGTGTGAGTGTGCCTGTAAGGGTGTGAGTGAGTATGGGGGAGTGTGGGGTGGTGGGATGACAGATGGGTGGCCTTAGTGCTATCCTCCACCTGTACCACCCTGGCCACAGCCCCTGCCTCGTGTCCACCCTGCTCCCACACTCTGCCCCACCCAGCCAGGCAATGGACCAGGGAGGAGGGTGGGAACTCTAGCTGACTCCACCCCTTTGCATGGCAGGGACCCGGGAGTCAGCCTTCGTGTATGCGCTGTCGTCTGCCGCCATCAGCCACGCCATCGCCCGGGCCTGTACCTCAGGCGACCTGCCCGGCTGCTCCTGCGGCCGTGTCCCAGGTGAGCCACCCGGGCCCGGGAACCTCTGGGGAGGATGTGCGGACAACCTCAGCTACGGGCTCCTCATGGGGGCCAAGTTTTCCGATGCTCCTATGAAGGTGAAAAAAACAGGATCCCAAGCCAATAAACTGATGCGTCTACACAACAGTGAAGTGGGGAGACAGGTAACCACCCACCCCACCCGCCCCCAGATGGTTGTGCTTGTGCCATCGGCCAGAAAAGGGCCACCCAGTGTACACCGATGGGGGGAGGCGGGAGACGGGCCCCTGATCCACCCACTCCAAAACTGCTGCACACCTCTGTCAGCTCTTGGGAGTTTGATGGACCCCTCCTCCAGGGGGTCTACCAGGACTTGGGTTGGAGAATGTTAGCAGAGCTAGGAGTTAGGAGCTCTGAGTTCTGGCTCTAGCACTAACTTGCTGTGTGATGTTGGGCAAGTCACCTTCTTTCTGGCCTCAGTTGTTGCCATATACGAAGTGGCCTCAGTGTACAAATGGTGTCTCCATGTGCTGGGACCCTCAGCTCTTCCTCTGGAGCTCTGACCCAGAGACATGGAGACTTCTGCAGGTCTGCGAATCTTATGCTAACCTACAGTTCTCCTTGCATTTATTGAATGGGAGCTCCTTCCCCAGCCTCCGGCCCACCTCAACCCTGAAAGTACAGCATCTCCCCAACATTTATTATTATCAATGTTCCATTAGTCCCTCGCTTCCTGCCACGAAAAGGTTGGATGAGTGGATGCCTAAGTGAATAAATGGAGCTTTTATTTTTTGAAAATTAAAAACAACAACAACATACACAATAAACAACTGTATATCATTCTGTGTGCCAGGCACCGTGCAATGTGAACACTCTGTGAGGAGGTATTCCTATCCCCTGTTGTTGTTGTTATGTGCTGTGGAGTCAGTTCCAACTTATAGCGAACCTGTACAGGGCTTCCAAGGCTGTAAATCTTTACGGGAGCAGAAAGCCTCATCTTTCTCCCGCAGAACGGCTGGTAGTTTTGAACTGCTGTTCACAGCCCGATTCGTAACCACTACACTATCAGAGTTCCCTGTTACAGGTGGGGAAATGGACCTAGTGAAGGGCATGACCATCCAGTGTTGTGTTCAGATGTCATCACGGTCCCCTCCCTACAGCCCTACTCTCCTCACATTACACCAAGTGAGTGGTAATGACCTTATGTGCTTGGCCAAGGTCACACAGGGCTTTGGACTCCAGGTCCAGAGGCCTTCATGCTTTCACCTTTCTCTCACACCTGTCTTTCTCATGTGAGGATTCTAGGATGTCCAGACCAGCCTTGGCAGTTGGGGAAACTGAGGCCAAGACACACCATGGGTCTGCAGCAGAGTCTGGCTGGGGACTTCCCAGCTCTGGCGACCTGCACCCAAAGCCCCGGATATCCAGCAGGAGCCCTGGAGTCCAAGAGCCAACCAGCCCTCCCTCCTTCCCTCCCAGTGCAACCCTAAGAGGGTCTTCAGCCTTAGCTGCACGTGAGGCCTATTTCTGAGGCCCAGATGCCAAGGAGTCTCCGGGGGTCCATCTGCACAGTGGGCATAGTCCTCCTCCCTAAAGCTGCAGGGTCTGTGTGAGGATTAAATGAGATAGATCCCGATTTTAAAGTGGGCCTCAGGAAGCTCTGGCTCTCCCTCCTCACCTGTCCCCATTTTATGCTGAGGAACTAAGCTGAATCTACTTTTCTTTCTATTCAAAAGCCCCTCTAGATCCTGGGAGGTTGAACATGCCTCTGAGCTGACTGTCATTCCTGTGTTCTCCTCAGGCTTTGCTCAGCAAATTCCGGATTTTATACCCAGCTAGACTTCCTTGGTCCCCATTTCCTGGCACTGTGATGGGGAAGGAGCCCTCGCTCTGTGCCTCAGTTTCTCCATCTCTTTCTTTGATGTTGGGAGGTGGGTACAAATGACCTGGCACCTTTATGGTTCTTTTCACAGAGCAGGCAGGGTAGAAGGAGGTTTTAAAAACCAAAATTGAAAGGCCCTTGGAAGGCATCTAACTCGTTGCCCAGCAGGTACAGATGGGGAAACTGAGACCAAAAGAAGCTGATGATACAAAGTCACTTCCCAAATCATAGCTACCATCTCACCAAACCCCAGAGCCCAAGTCTCCTCCTTTTCCACCATAATTATTACTTAAACTGATTTTTAAAAACTAATGCTGATTTAACTTTCATAGTTCACAAAATCTTTTCGATATGCCATCTCATTTAATCCATGCAACAACTCTACAAGGTTGGAATGATGTGCCCATTTTGTACATAAGAAAGCAGAGGCACCCAGTGGCTAAGTGGCTTGTTGGAAGTCACCTGACAGGTGAAGTGGCAGTGAGAGATAACGCAGGTCAGGTCAAGGACATTCACCTCAACACTCACTTCTTCCCTCCCTCCCCCTTTCTTTTCCTTTTCCCCCTCTCCTCCTCTTTCTCTTTTTCCTTCTTTTTTTTCTTAGCAAGTATTTAGTGAGCCCCACTTTCATGTGAGAGAAAGCATAGGACAATGAACAGCTGAAGCTTTTGGAATCACCCTCTGATTGGGGTTCAAATCCCAGCTCTGCAATTTTCTAGCTCTGCAACCTTGGGCATGTGACTTAGCCTCTCTGAGCCTTTATTGCCTCTTTGTGAAATAGGGGAAATTATGACACCTCCCTTGGAAGGCTATGTAGCAGTTAAATTATGCCATGTTTTAGAGCATTTAGGATACAGTAGGTGCTTAATAAATAGTATCCATGATCCCTGCAAAGGTCATTCTTCTTCTTGCCTCACTCAGCTGCACCCTGCCCTGCTCCAGTTTAGAGGAAGAAAAATGAACCATAGTTTTCGAGTAAACCCAGTTTTCGAGTAAAAAAGATCAGTGGAGTTGGCAAGGGCCAGGGTCCCAGGCAGGTCGGGGAGGGGCTCTAGCCGCCCAGCCCAATGCCCTTCCTGTCTACAGGCTCTCCGTGCCTCTCTGGAAGTGAAGTGTAAGTGCCACGGGGTGTCTGGCTCCTGCTCCATCCGCACCTGCTGGAAGGGGCTGCAGGAACTGCGGGATGTGGCCGCTGACCTCAAGACCCGTTACCTATCAGCCACCAAGGTGGTACACCGCCCCATGGGCACTCGCAAACACCTTGTGCCCAAAGACCTGGATATCCGGCCTGTGAAGGACTCGGAGCTCGTGTATTTGCAGAGCTCCCCCGACTTCTGCATGAAGAATGAGAAGGTGGGCTCACACGGGACACAGGACAGGTAAGCATCTGACACCAGGCCAACAGGAAAGACCACCAGTACAAAACTGGGTCTCAGCTGGTATTTGGGGAGAACAGAGTTCCTGCCTAGCTAGCCGAGGGAGGTTGCCCCGGGATGCAAAAGTGGAGATGACAGGATGCAAGGGACCCTGCAACAGGGCTTCTGGGAGTGCCTGCTATGCATCTTACCCAGGAAGGTTCCCCAGGTCTGGAGACTGGTAGGAGGTCCCACTCCACCTCCCCCTAATCAGGGAGACAGATGAGAAGAAACATTGAGTCCTCAGGAGACAGAGAGAGAGGCTGTCCTGGCATGAACAGTTAGGGATCAGCACTGGATAGGCAGCATCATTTAGGTAACTGGGGGCCACTGGCTGCATGAGATGCAGGACAGACTTCACAGAGGAGGTTTTGAGGTGGGTCCTGGAGTATGAAAAGGAGTTTGCCAGACTCACACAGAGGATGAGGACATTCCAGTTGGAGGTTATGGTACATACAGTGACCTTCCCCCCCTCCCCCCTCAAGGTTGGGCACCTGATAGGCAGAATCACAATGAATCTTGCTCCCCGAGTCTCAAGCCAAGTCCTGACTTTCACTCAACTGCCCCATGACTTCTGCTCTGGCTCCCCAGACAGTGCACCCGTCTCTATGATCAAAAATGTGATTTAGGGAGCGTTTTGGAGCAGGAGAGAGCCTTGGAGGCCTTCCAAGTGGTTCTCCTGAAATGTTAGCACCCCTGCCTCTTCTCAAAAGCCCTTCAAGGCTCCCTGCTGTCTGCAGATTCCAGTTTGACCCTTAGAAGAACTCCACGCTCTGCAGAGCCTGCCCATCAGCCACCCCAGTACCCCAAACAAGTTCTGTGCTGCCTGCCTACAGGCCTCTGCCCTGCTACACTGTCCTCTCTGCCCAGCATGGAGTTCCTGTTAAGTCTCCTACCCTTAGCTCAAGAGCACTGCCTCCTGAAGGTACCCCAGTCTGCTTAGGTAGTTCTTCTCCCTTCCTGGCCCAGGGCAGCCACCTTCCCTCTGGGAGTCCCGCAGTGGAGGTAGGACCTTCTTCCTACAAGAAAGTATCAGGGAGAGGCTGGACTATCCCCCAGTCCCAAGTATACATTTATTGCACAGGAAAGGCCCAATGCTTCATCAGCTTCTTATTGGGGCAGGAGCCTGGCCATAAAATCTGCCTGTCCCATTGGTAGGACCACCTCGTCATCCTAGAACCCCTTAAATTTCTAACACGGCCCAAAAGAGTATGGACTCTCAGTAAATGTTTGTTGGATGATTAAATGAAGGAAAGATGAATGCCATACAACTTCCCATTTGGATAAAGGAGGACTATGGGGAGGTGGAGGCAGTAGCCAGTCTGTGACCCCCCCTCCCCCCCGCACAAGAAGTCTGCATGAGCTAACCACACTCTCACACCAGTCCTCTGATGCACAGCCTTTGAGGAGAATGGGGTCAGTGGGTGGGATAGTGTCCCAGGCTCACCATGTATGTGCCCTCCTGCCTGACACTGCATTCTCCCACCTGCTCCTGGAGACCTGCTGGTCCCCGGGTTAGAGCTAAGACTGGGATCCCATCACAGTTGCTGAGCTGCTCAGGAAACCAGTCTTATTGCAGACCAACTGTGCCCGGTGGGGCTGGAGAACTCAGGGATCAGCACATCCCAAAGATGGATCTGGACAAAACTAGTCCTGACATGTTACAATAGAAAGAGTTCTGCAATCAAACACGTCTGAGAAATTCTCTTTATGGATTCACAGAGCACGCTAACCTCTTAGAGGCTCCGAGGGATCCTGCAGCAAAGGCTCTGGCTAAGCCAGTGTTTCCCAAAGGTGTTTGCGTGTGGAACTCTTTTATTAGGGAGCCCCTAATAGCATTCCAGAAAACGAGTGTTCTGCGGGGTTAAAAGAATATTGAACCAGAGTGAGGGTGTCTGGGAACGAGTCTGGCACATAGTTGGTGCCCGGCCAGCATTTGCTTCCTCCGCAGCCCACAGTTTGTCTCCCGGAGAGGGGGGGTACTTTGGGGGCGCCGTCCTCACAGGCCAGGGCAGCAGACTCGGAGGAGGCCCAGGCTCCCATCTGGAGGCCAGATTGAGGGGGTCGGTGGATGCAAGTGAAGATGGAACCAGGTCAGGCCTGTGAGACAGGAAGGAATAGGACTGAGGCAGCCAGGATGGGTGTGAAGAGAATGAGATGGGGTGGGGTTCTGGAACCTAGGGGCTGGGGACGAGTACCCCAGAGTAGACAGGGTCTTCCAGACTTTTATGTGACAGTTCTGATCCAGATGCAGCAGCTCCCTTCTCTCATCTCTTCATCTGAGGCTGTTTCATCTCCTGTGCAATGGGGACTGAAGCATCCCCCCCCAGAGGGTCAGAGATGATACACAGTTACTTACATCCACCTAGCCAGCATCTCCACTGATGGTTCCTCCTACTCACCATCTCTGCTGTTACACCTATCCAGTGACTCTGCTATTACCGCCACACCCACCCAGCATCTCCATCATTCGTTACTCCTACCCTGTGGTGCTCCACAATAATGCACTAGACTGAAAGGTCAGTTTGAGCCACAGGTTGATGGTTCAAAGCTACCAGCTGCTCCTCGGAAACCCTATACAGCAGGGTCAATATGAGTCAAAGCTGACTCAATGGCACTTAACAACAACAACCCACCATCTCTATTATTACAGTCACACCTACCCAGCACCACCCACTAGTATAGTTACACTTGTACAGTATTCCCACCGTTACAACTACTCCTACGGAATGTCTCTGCTGTGCTAGCTGCTTCAGTCACATGGGAGGCCTCAGTATCCGTCTGACCTCTTCCTTCCCAGCTGTCCCACTCTTGGCTTTACTGTGCTAAGGAGGTTACCCCACAGCACCACCCACCAATCCCCACCCCCCATTCTCAGGGGACAGGCCTTCACACATATCTGTGAGGTCAGCTTTGCAAACCAACAACCTGGAAATCTCAGTGGCTTACAACCACACACATTTACTCTTATACTCATTACATGAGGCTGCAGGTCAGCTATGCTTGTCCTGGTATGGTGTTGGAGGATAAGCACTGGACCATAAGGTCAGTTTGAACCTCAGAAACCCTATACAGGGTCGCTATGAGTCAGAGCCAACTCAGTGGCACTAACAACAGAAACATGCAGGTATTAGGAGAGACATCCAGTACTCAGTTGTGACAGAAAAACCCAGAGGCTAGCAGACCCCAGAGGGACCTTCATCTAGCCTGGACATCAGGGAAGGTTTTCTGAAGGAGGGAGATGGGAGGTTTATTAGATGAGGGGACTTGGGGCCCCAGGGATTAGATGTAAATAAACTGTGTTAGCTGTAAAAGGCCTGTATGTGCAGGGAGTCTCTTCAGAGGATTTCCCCCTACCTGGGAAAAATGCCTCCCAACCTTCCTCAAATTCCCCCTGGGGAAACTGAAGCCTTATCAGCCAGTGTTTCATATTCTAAAACCCAGCCTTCTTTTCTTTTTAAAAACTTTTTGTTTGTTTGTTTGTTTTTTATTGTGAATTGAGTAAAAGTTTACAGGGCAGATCATCAGTTTTATATTCAACAAATCATATACTTTCATTACAATGGTTATAATCCCCTCCATGTACCACCATCAGTTAACAGTATTTATCTCTTCTCATTTTAGCTTTTTTTAAAAAAAACACTCAGGCATATATAATAATTTAAACCACCAAATGGCACATTCTGTAATTCTGCCCCCTGGCCACCAGCTCTCAGTCCCTCTCTTCCCATGAATCTGTAGTTCTCAGCTGCTTCCTCTCTCCATGTCCCCATCTCTGCCTCCATCTCTGGTGTCTGCGTCTCTGGATAGGGTCCCACATTCCGTTTGTGCTCTTCTCCCTTGATGGTCCTAGGGTCCTCTGTTTCTGGACTGTAAGATTAACTACTCCCCCGATTTTGTTACAAAACTTCTACCTTTACAATTATGACAGTAGCAATTAGTCATGATAACAATTACTCACTATTGAATCATAAGAATCTTATCCCCATCTTTTTTTTTTTAAGTTTTTATTGTGAGGTTTACATGGGAGAACATCAGCTTTATACTCATCGTATTTCACTTCATTACAATGATTACAATCCCTTCCATGCATTATCAAATATCCAAAGGGTACACCACACAGACCTGCCCCCCAGCCGCCAGCACACAGCCCTTCTCCCTCCCTGAGTCCAGTGTCCCCAGCTGCTCCATCTGTGCACGTCATCATATCTGTCTCCATCCCTGGCATCACTGCCTCTCTGAGTAGGGTCCCGCTCTCCATTCTTCTCACTTGATGGTTGCAGGGACCTCCGCTCCTGGGCTGCAAAATCAATCACTCCCCTCCTTTTGTCAAAAAACATCTACCTCTATATTTCCTACCCTCACAGTCAGTCTTGATGGCAATTATTCACTATTGTACCACAAGAGTTTTATCCTCATTTCCTTTCACCAGCTGGGTCCCAACGGATTAGAAATCATTCAGTGGTGATTCCACCTTCCCCCGCCTTGTCTGGAACTAGGCTCCCTTTTGAAAGCTTGTAAGCCAGTCACTTCTTGCCTTTAAAGCCTCCCCTCCCCCCATTTTGGATACCCAATGTCTAAGTTGCCCATCCCTGTCAACCCTGTGTACCGAGGGGGTGGGAGTGATCCTTGCTGTAAAGATTTGTTCCTTTTTTGGGGTTACTACATCCATAAGTATAGATAAAGTTCATCAA